ACGAAAGTACGATTTGAAAGCTAGTTAAAAGCCAAAAACAATTAACAATAAAAAATCATGCATCATAGACTAAAATCAATTAAAACATTTAACATGTGTGTGAGAGCTCAACCCTCCCCTAACCTGGGACAGTGGTGTAACAGCACAACATAAGAACAAACTATAAACATCAGTTGAAAAGGGCTTAACTATATAGTTTTCTCGTTTGAATTGTTTTACATTGTCATTTCGGGGCCATTTATAGCTGACTGTGCGGTATGGGCTTTGCTCATTGTTGAAGGCCGAACGGTGACCTATAGTTGTTAATTTCTGTGTCATTTGGTGTCTTGTGGAGAGTTGTCTCATTGGCAATCATACCACATCTTCTTTTTTATATTAACTTATCAGATCGATACTAAGCGGAGAACATCTAAAAAAACACAAACCAAACATGGCAGGATATTTATGCATCCCTAACAACAAAAAAGACACAAAGTACAGATTTCATTTTTCTATTTGTCGTTTGGCATCATGAACACGCTGTTTAAATTTGAGAAAAAAACGTATTTCATTCGCATTTTATAGGGGAATTTCATCAGTCTCTGCCAATTCTGTAATTGACTCTGTAATTACAGATTCATTTATACGACTTATTTCCCTTCGAAAAAGGCAATGTGTAATGTGTGTCAGTAATCTGTAAGTTTTTCAAATCTTTTGATTACAAATATTCTTTTGTTAGGCTAAAAACTTTTGATATCAACAGGTAATTATTCAATTGAAACTGGTTAAAAGGCCTATATATATATATATATATATATATATATATATATATCACTTTCAACTTATCATGTTTTGCATTCGCACCAACTCATTTTGTTCGGTTTAGAACCAGTCTACAACTATTGGGATAGGGAAACAACTTGTGTCAAAGTGAGAAAGATAATTGGAAAAAAAGACTCAAAGGGAAACAAGTTTAGGGTTTTGTTGTCAATTGATTCTTTACTCAGCTAAGTAATGTTACTAACAAAGGTTAAACTCAAAGTCTGATTAAAAAGTAATCACAGAGTCAAATCCGGTTTCCTTTTTAGGTCAAAAGAAATCCCTGTCCAGCTTGAGCAAGGAAATAAAACACATTATACATTGCAATATATAGTAACTGCAATACAGTACTTTAATTCCGTTTTAGCTCACCTGGCCCAAAGGGTCAAGTGAGCTTTTCTCATCACTTGATGTCCGTCGTCCTGCGTCCATCGTCCTGCGTCCGTCGTCCGTAAACTTTTACAAAAATCTCCTCTGAAACTACTGGGCCAAATTTGACCAAACTTGGCCACAATTATCATTGGGGTATCCAGTTTAAAAAATGTGTCCGGTGACCCGGCCAACCAACCAAGATGGCTGCTATGGCTAAAAATAGAACATAGGGGTAAAATGTAGATTTTGGCTTATATCTCTGAAACCAAAGCATTTAGAGCAAATCTGACAAGGGAAAAAATTGTTTATCAGGTCAAGATCTATCTACCCTGAAATTTTCAGATGAATCTGACATCCCGTTGTTGGATTGCTGCCCCTGAATTGGTAATTTTAAGGAAATTTTGCCGTTTTTGGTTATTATCTTGAATATTATTATAGATAGAGATAAACTGTAAACAGCAAAGTAAGATCTACAATTAAGTCAACATGACCAAAATGGTCAGTTGACCCCTTAAGGAGTTATTGCCCTTTATAGTCATTTTTAACCATTTTTCGTAAATTTTTTTGTATTTTTTTACAAAAATCTTCTCCTCTGAATCTACTAAGACAAATTTAACCAAACTTGTCCACAATCATCATTAGGGTATCTAGTTTAAATAATTCATAAGGGTTCCGCGAAACCCAGTGTCTCGCCTACTTTTTCTGTTAATCGAAGGCTCAACAAAAATACGAAGTAAATCAATAAAAATATTCCTCTTGATACTATCTTTTGATTGTAAGAAGCTTCTGTCCAAGTTTGGTAAAAATCCAGGATAGTTTATGAATCTAATAAATGTTTAAAAAACTTTAACTGCAGACTGAATGTAATGTTAACTGGAAGAAAAAAAAAATTCCTTCTAGATACTAGCATTTGATCATAAACAAGCTTCTGTCCAAGTTTGGTACAAATCCAAAATAGTATAAGAAAGTTATTAAAATTTTAAAAACTTTAACCACAGAGTGAATATGTTGTTTCCTGGCAGAAAATCTAAGTCCATTTAAAAGTAAAATACGGAAAAAATGGATTTTTTTTTTACAAAATTTTCTTCTTGATACTAGCTTTTGATCATAAACAAGCTTCTGTCCAAGTTTGGTACCAATCCAAAATAGTATAAGAAAGTTATTAAAATTTTAAAAACTTTAACCACTGAGTGAATGTGTTGTTTCCTGGCAGAAAATCTAAGTCCATTTAAAAGTAAAATAAGGAAAAAATGGATTATTTTTTTTACAAAATTTACTTCTAGATGCTATCTTATGATCATAAACAAGCTTTTGTCCAAGTTTGGTACAAACCCAGGATAGTTTAAGAAAGTTATTAAAATTTCAAAAACTTTAACCACAGAGTGAATGTAATATTTCCCGGCAGAAAAACTAAGTCCATTTATAAGTAAAATAAGGAAAAAAATGGAATTTTATTTTTACAAAATTTACTTCTGGATACTATCTTATGATAATAAACAAGCTTTTGTCCAAGTTTGGTAGAAATCCAGGATATTTTAAGAAAGTTATTAAAATTTCAAAAACTTTAACCACAGAGTGAATATTTGTGGACGCCGACGCCGACGACGCCGACGCCGACGCCGACGCCGACGACGCCGACGCCGACGCCGACGCCGACGGAATGTAGAATCGCTATGTCTCGCTTTTTCGACTAAAGTCGAAGGCTCGACAAAAATGTGTCCGATGACTCCGCATGCGAACCAAGATGGCCGACATGGCTAAAAAATAGAACATAGGGTAAAATGCAGTTTTTGGCTCATATCTCTGAAACCAAAGCATTTAGAGCAAATCTAACGAAGATAAACTTGTTCATTAGGTCAAGATCTATCTGCCCTGAAATTTTCAGACCAATCAGGCAACACGTTGTTGGGTTGCTGCCCCTGAATTGGTAATTTTAAGAAAATTTTGCAGCTTTTGGTTATTATCTTGAAAATTATTATAGATAGAGATAAACTGTGAACAGCAATAATGTACAGCAAAGTAAGATCTACAAATAAGTCAACATGACCAAAATTGTCAATTGACCCCTTAGGAGTTATTGTCCTTTATAGTCAATTTTTTACAATTTTCATAAATTTTGTAACTTTTTGTAAATTTTTACAAAATATTTTCCACTGTAACTACTGGGCCAAGTTATTATAGATAGAGATAATTGTAAGCAGCAAGAATGTTCAGTAAAGTAAGATCTACAAACACATCACCATCACCAAAACACAATTTTGTCATGAATCCATCTGTGTCCTTTGTTTAATATGCACATAGACCAAGGTGAGCGACACAGGCTCTTTAGAGCCTCTAGTTTAAATGTCTCTTTAAATAAGATTCGTAGTTGAAATGTTAGAGTGGACATTCCGATGGCTTAAACATAAGATTCAACATTGAAAAATTATAACTTCCATTTACTCCTCATTAAGCCATGACATTTTAGACACTTGAGGGAACAGTATAAATTTCAAAAAAATTAATTGCCAGAATTCAACTCTGTTTTCAGGAAACGCTCTATGATTACGCTGTTGTTGACTTATCTAACTGTTTTGTGATAACTATTTGTTTGGTTATTAACAATTGCAATCATAGTTAATATATTGTGTACTTACTTTGAAATTAGACTTAACTGTTTATAATGTTTGGTAGTAGTTTGATCTGAATAAAGGGCGGAAATTTTGGACTGTCACAGGAAAATCACAGTATATTGAATATGGGCAGACCTTGTACCTTGAATAGGCCATATGGGGACTGTTTCAATGTTTTTGTGTGCATTCGTCTGTAATTGGGTTATAGTTGAGTTTGGTGCTTTTTCTGTTTTGATTCTCATTATTTCATTTTTATAGTATCTCATGTTCTTCCACAGATATTGACAGAAAGTGAAAATTTAAGTACTCGCATAACTAGTTTTGAACCAGCCATATGCTTATTTACCCTACCCATTAGGAAAATAATACGATACAGATAGGACATAAAAGGAAAAATCAATACCAGGTCAGCTTGGCTGAGGCAGTAACATTCTCTTACACACTTGACAAAAGCAGTGCTCTCCTCAACGTAAATCAATTAGAAAATGTATTTACTAGTATAATGCACTGCGTATTGTTAGCAAGCTTACTCAAAATTACCATTCATGTAAATAAAAACAATTTTCATCTATTATTTCGAATATGTTTACATTCAATTTCCAAGCTCTTATATTAATTTGTAACAGTGTTAAGATAGTATATTCAGAGCTATCTATATATTTTTTGACAGTGCGGAAGTTCTCCTGGTCTTGCTAAGTATATCGACTGAGGCACAATCTTAGTTTTGGTCTGTCATATTTGTTTTTCGTAAATTGTTTTGTTATAAATTAGGCCGTTATATTTCTCAATTAAATTGTTTCATATTTTTTATGTCGGGACCTTTTACAGCCGACCATACGGTATGGGTTTTTCTCATTGTTGAAGGCCGTAGTCTACGGTTGCCTATAATTACTTACATCCACTTCATTTGAACTTTGGTAGATAGTTGTCTCATTGGCAATCATACCACATCTCTTTATTTTTATATTAGTAATTTACTGAAGATTATCCAAGGGAAAAATAAAACTGATATAAAAAAAGTTTCTCATAATATCAATCTAAATTTTCTTTATACTTTTATACTTGACCAATATTTTCATTAAATAGACACATTTATACTTGACCACTATTTTCATTAAATAGACACATTTATACTTAACCAATATTTTCATTAAATAGACACATGTATACTTCACCAATACTTTCATTAAATAGACAATCATCCTATCGAAGACTTACAGTGATCGGCTTACTTGTGCATCTATACATACATGGAAATTCCTGTAATTTTTTTTTTTGTATTATGTACAAGCATTTGTAGAATATAAAAATAAGAGTATATACTTGTTTTCATGCACGTACATGTGTTCACAACCAAACTTATTATTGGTTTACCGACTGGTAAACATGTCATATCTTATGTTTATCCCTTGTTAATCCTCAAGTGAAGATAATTTGGAGCACTCGACTTTGTTTGCTTTTAAATTTGCCTAATGGACAGATTGTAACAAACCAATTTTAAGAACAATTTTAAAGTTATATCTTAATGTATCATATGAATTCATTTAAATCATTAAAATGTAACTCAGTAATCGCAACACACATTTTTGCAGTGGAGTTTGATAAATCGATACTGTTCTTTTCTCTAGAGATATTCTATGCAATATAAATAAATTATTTAACGTTCTTTTCTAGCACAAACATATGAAAAATTAAGAGGATGATATAAGATTAGTAATGTGTAATCACCCCTTTTTGATGTTCAAGAAGATTATTTGTGAATTAATTTGTTAATAAACAAGTTGGAAATCTTTGAAAATTGCTTTCCCAAAATTATAAACACGTTGAAAAATTACCTGTTAGAATGAAGAATAAAAAGTCCATTTATATTCGCCATCATAATATACCAAATGCACGTAGGTAGCCATTAAACCAAATAGCATTGTTACCTCGCCAACGTAAAGTTATCTCTAAACAACTTTCACACAAAAATTACATATCCCTATCTTTCCTTTTATTTACATAAAGGTAAGTAAACAATACTTATGTTATCGAGATCACCATAAAACACTTGAATTTCAATGAACCTTGATTTAAGGATCGCAATTAATGGTTTAGGATGCGAATGTTAAAATTACTAGCTAGTTAAACCCGCTAAATATTATTCATACAACTGTATGAATACATGAACATGTACATGTATATGAGTTTATTTATGTCCATGACAATTTTGACAGTATTGCTCTAGCGTTAATTTTGAAATGTTGTCTGTTTTTAAGGTCAGGTATGATCGAGGAGTGATTGCTTATTTTCTCAAATATTTAGTAATATATAGCATGTATGCTGTATTTCCATTATATTTGATGCACGAGTTTTCGTTATTACGAGTACATTGTATATACATTTGTATGTAAATATCTAGAGACGTTTATTTTTGTACACATTGAAAACATTATGGATAGGCATGTAACTTAGCGTGTCGCTTATCAAAATAATTTAAACAAAAACTTGGTTGTAATTTCATGGTCACGTTTTGAGTATCATATTCATTCAATTTACAGCCACATTAGTTTTTTTTTTTTAAACCCGTCAAATATTTCTCATTTTGATAAAAAAAAGATCCTGTTTAACAATTTGAAATATGATCTTAATATGGGTAATACTACTATTTACTTTTTCATTTCACAATGAGGTGAATGCGACAATTTTACAATATAGCGTATCAAAATTCGGTTTTAATTATAATTGATTGTTTGATGGTGGCCAGTACATATTGACCTATTCTTCCGGCTTTGGGACACAAAAATGCTTTAAATCATAATTTAAATGGTTGTTGAAAACTAGTTTGACTCACCACTTATTAATGTGCATGTCCAAAGTCAGCAACTTCGTCAATGGTCGTCTTTTATCATTTCTTTAAGCCTTTTTTTTTGTTGTTATTTTGAGAGTTTGTATGGTGTCAGCTCTTTGGTGGTATCTGTTTAATTTTTTGTTTATCTTTTTTTTAAATATGAGACCACTGAGAGCTTTAAAGTTTGTTTAAAACCTATCTATTGTTGAAGACAGTATGATGCCCTGTAGATGTTCTTTGGTTGTTTGTGTTGTTGAGTTGTTGTCTCATTAGCGTAAAATACAAACACCTTGTTTTATTCATCTTGAAAAATCAAACATGAAAGAAGCTTAAACCCCGTTGAAATCAAGAATTCATCGAAATTAGCCTTAGAGTTAAGTGTTGGCATCCGGCTGTTTGTTTTTTCACTGCATGACAAATATTTTCTTTGAAATGATATAAGATGAAAGATGAGATGGGGAGAGGACCCCTGGTGTATTAGAAAAATCAATTCAAATAAAAAGCAAAATTTAAATATTATTTTAAAGCCATTTCTTTAACGATTTCTTACCTCCATTTACGGTTCACTCCATTAAAATTAACTAGTCTATATAACTTATTCCACACCTGAAAGTTTTGAACTGGTTAAATAGACATATTAATGTTTTCTTTTTTATTTATACAATGTCATGGGGAAATGATTCAGTGATTTAAATACCTGTTGTAGTATGGGTACAAAGGGAGTCCAGTTACCCATTATACTTCAAGCATAAAGAAGCTCGCTGAATTGTGTTTGTCTCATTTAAAACAGTAGCGTTTTGATGAAAATTTGGAAAACAATGCATAACATTGAAGCATTTATTACAGTACTATGAACAAGTTTTGATAAAATGTTCAGGGGATTTTTATTGTACTTCATTGTAAAATAGGAGGAATATGTAATCTCTTATTCAAATGTTCCATCCAATGTTAAGATTCTGAGTCGAAAATACAATCCTGAAAAAATGTACAATGTACAAGGAAGCATCATTTTGTAATATTTACAAAAATGTAGGTTAAAAGCGGTACACTTTTCCCGTCCGTCCCTTGACTGCAATTTTCTTTTCTTTAGAATATACTCTTATAACAAAGATCTTCAAGATTATAAGAATTTCTATTTTTTTTTTTTTATAGTTGCACTCCAAAAAATATTATTTTGGTATAATGAAATGTTAAGAGATTAGTTTCGCTTTTAATTATTTTTTTTTATATTTAATAATTTCTTTTCAGGGGAGACCGTTGAACAGAGCACATGTGTATTGATCAAAGAAACACGATAACTATTGTTTTTATTTTGTACAGGTCATTGATGTCGGATCATGCATACATATTACGTACACATGTTTACGGGAGCACAGATTTGTATTTCAATGCATGTTTAGAAATTTGAGTGTAGGATTTCAGTAATACATTGATTTTAATTTCGCAATCAAGCGGACCGCACGTGCCTCATCGATTAATTTCAGAAAATACATGAATTGGAGCAGATTTTTGCAGGGATGGATTTCTATTTCAGAAAGAAATTTGTACATAAGAAGGATTAGCATTTTACAGTATAATGTACGGGACTAAAAGCGATCTTCTTTTCTTTGAAATGGGATAACTTAAAAAAAAAAATAATTTTAAAAAAAAGGGGGTCTCTATCACTTATGGTTTACCAGTTACAAATACATATCACTTATTTCAAATGCATTAGGGGAAATAACTCTCATATGGAGTCTTCGTATCGCTTCCGTCAAAATTGGACAACAAATCCTGAGGATATAGCGAGCCATTTGGTAAAATAAATTTGTCGCTTTCTTTTACGGTTACGGAGGAGATGCAGTCACAAGGAAAACAGTGTTCAGGGAGATAACTCCTACAAAGAAAATTGTTCGGCTTAGAATGGGTGAAAATAAAAAGCGCATAAACTGTATGATACTATATAAGAAATATCTAAGCGACATCTTGCGAAACAAAAATTTTACGCGAGAACAAAATTAGGCGGAAGAAAAAAAAAATAATAATAATAATAATAATCAAAACAAATACAATAGGTCTTTCCACAGAAAAGTGGAAAGACCTAATAATTCTTTTTCACTTTCATGGAAAATTTGTCCTTATTTTCAATGACTTAATTGCAGATGTAATATGCTTGTAAGAGCTACATTGTAAACAGGAGAAAACATTCCTGGTAGTCTTCATTTATTGTTACTGTAAGGTTGAAACATGGTAAGGCAAGAGAGGAACAAATTTCGTTATTAACGTTAATTTTGTAGCTAATTTTTGATCCTTAATCTTTTAAACAACTTTTTGTTCCCAGAATCAGTTATTTACTGTAAAAACTTGCAAAAAAAAAGAAATTATAAGATTTTTTAATAATGTCACGAAAGTCAATTTTTAATTACTACCTCATCTTTGATTTTACGCCGATAAGGAATATAAAAAATCTCACTATTGCTTTAAAACTCCGACATGAACATCAAAAAAGCATATAACTTCGGGTGAATTTGAAATCTTTTCGATGTATCAAAACAGCCCACATTTTGTACATGTATTCACATACGATAATCATAAAACTATTGGTGTCTTTAGATTCTTCAATACCTTATTGATGTACATGAAGCTTGTTATACTGCATCGTACCTACTGCTTTAACTGGAATGATAAGTTTGGTTCATGAAAGAAAAAAGTAGGCCATGATTTAATTATTTGATAAAGGTTATTTTACAAAACACTAAATTGTCCGCAAACAAGAGAGACAAAGATCAAAGCCAGAACTTTGATTTATACTGTTACTATAAAGTTATAAATGTTTTTCCCGTTCAGTTTTTTATTGAATATGACTGTACTTTATGTACTTTTTGTTAGTCCACAGATCGACATTAATGAGGGTTAGTGGAACTGTTTAAACCCCCGTTACATGTTCATATATCTAGGCTTGGAACCTCGTCTTTGGTTGTTTAATGTCAAATATATGTATGTTTGTTTGTTCGGGGATTTTCATTTGGAGAAAATCTAGTGATGATAGTAGATCCTTGATTATGTTTGTTAAATTTATTCACAACTGTTTTAGACACGGGTGATTTGGAGCTTGGCATAGACATCTATCTATTGTTGAAAAGGGAGATGCTGCCAAGGAGATGTCTATCAAACACAATAAGGTAACTAACTACAGGTTATCGTACGGCCTTCAACAAGAAGCAAAAAACATACCGTAAAGTATTATTAAGGCCCCCGAATGCCCAAAGTGAAACAATTGAAAACTGTGTCTAGCCCTCTATGTTAAGTGTGTCGTTGGGTAGCTGTTGTGTCTCATTGACGCACACTCCATATCTCCTTTTATTCATAACTTAAAATGCATAAAAGAACATACAACCAATAAATGCATTTAACTGTGTAAATGCCACCTATTTACACTATCAACACGTTAGAATATTTGTTCGTGCTAAGAACAAGACTCACATCTAACACGGGATGTAAGGACATGGTCTAGCGTTGCAATGTAGACAGAATATGGCTGTGTATTTATTTTATTTATTTTGTACAGACGTCTCTAACCAAATGTTCTGCTTCAGATGTAAGACGCCCAGGTTACCCATCTGTAATGTAATATGTAAAATCAGGAATTTTGTAAAATCCTAGTCCAAATAATTATGACGTCTTGAAAGGCTATTTCATTTTTTTTCTTGGACGCCTTCCTACGACGTCATAACGCTGAAGCCATTTTTTTCCGTCTGGACTTTGAGAGAGAATTGGACTAGTAAAATCCCTGAAATAATTATTATTAAGTAATTTTGTAAAATTCCTAACAGTTTCAGTGATTTTTTAAAATCCCTGAAATTGTTAGGAATTTTATAAAATCACTGAAAATATTGCTAGGGATTACAAGTTTAAACTTATCATGAGTGAAGATCTGGATTGGATTTTCAGAATAGAAAAATATGCGCAGAAAATGCAGAATAAAGGGCAAAAAATATAACGAATAGAGAAAAGTAGGCTACAAACATAAAGAATAGAGAATAATGGGGTGCTGAAATATACGTTGGTTTTCCCGTTTGAATGGTTTTACACTAGTAATTTTTTGGGGCCCTTCATAGCTTACTGTTCGGTGTGAGCCAAGGCTCCGTGTTGAAGACCGTACTGTGACCTATAATGGTTTACTTTTATAAATTTTGACTTGGATGGAGAGTTGTCTCATTGGCACTCATACCACATCTTCTTATATCTATTAATTGAGAACAATGGGCAATACAGAAAAGAGAAAATGGTAAAAAAGTTAAATAATAAATAAATGAAGGACCCCACCCAGACCCTCATGACCAGTTTACCACAGCCAGCAGACAATGTGATACAACACAAAAAGTAGTTTATTTTCTATGCAGATACATATCTTCTTTAAAAATACTTTATTGTTTTGTTCTTACAAACATCCCACCTTAAATTTAAGCTACAGTAGTTATGTTCAAACGATGTTCAAATTTCAGAAATCGATAGAGAAGATATAAATCATGGTTATAAGCAAGCTTGAGGTCATTAATTGAACTCCAAAAGTTAAATTCAACTCTTAAGACCTGCATGTATCAACAGACATGGCTGCCGTTTCATAAAACAATCGTTATTAATGATAATAGTTGTTTTTCTTTTGTACTCCATGAATTCGTTTTTTCGTATATGTAAGAGAATGATAATCCCTTTCTTCATGATTAAGTACGAGCGTTAGCGAGTACTTATCATGAAGTAAGGGATTATCATTCTCTTACAAACTTAGAATATTGTAAAGTGATCAAGGCTCAAATGATCTATTCAAGAATTAGTTTCAATTGTTAGTGCAATGTTTATAATTGATGCATGACTTCCTTTTTGGGCATGTCACTTATGGATTAGTTTTACTGATGTAAGGACTTTCATATCATTTGGGAAATATTTTTTTTTTAAAAAGCGTTATAGATATTAGGTGACACAACAGTAGAAAGAAAAGGTAGGAATTGGATATGTTTCTTGATTGTGAGTATGAATGTAAATCATGTAATATTTTAGTGAGGAATTATCCTTTTTTTTATTTACAGTTTAAATCAATTAATATGTTTGAGTTACAACTAAATTTTATTTCACAGCCAATATTTTGGTCCCGCTTTTTACATCAAACAATATTTAATTATTTCAGGGAAATGTTCAAAAATGTTCTAAAATAATGCCTTTAAAAGTTTTTAATATGTTCAAAATTAAATTCCTGGTTTTTTTTTTATCGGAATACTGGAAATAAATATTCTTTCCAACCACTGATCAAGTAATCAAAGTTTTGGAAAGCTAAAGATTAAGGTTATGTTTTTATCTGAAAGATTTTTTTCTTTTGTTGCTTTGCTTTGGTATTGTTTAATTTTTTTTAGTAATTTGAAGTTATTAATATTTTCATAATAACATTCACGGTACAAATTTTACTGCACCAGTAAACTTCAACTTATTTTGAGATTTTTGTTTGTTTCACAATTGAACTTTTAGTCAGTTTCAATCACTGTGTGATAAATCCTTCCAATCTGATAAATGTGCTTCGGGGCAGTTGTAACTCATTTATAGAAACTCTTTGTTTTGAACTGTAAATAGACCCAAATAATAGAATAATCCCTTACTAAGAACATGATTTA